CGCGTCGTGCAGGCATACACGGTGCGTCCGGCTGCCCTTATTCGTGTGGAGCACATCGGGACTTCTTAACGCGTTACGCAGCCCGACACGATCTGGCGCAACCGGGACCAATTCATCCGCGGGCGCGAGGAGGCGGCTGCGTTCCTCACAAAGAAATGGGCAAACGAGGGCGACTACCGCCTCCGCAAGGAGCTCTTCGCCTTCACAGACAACAAAATCGCCGTCCAGGTGCGTCGGGCGCGTTCGGTCCACACCGTTTTTGCTCACTCCACCCTCCGGCAGTTTTTCTACGAATGGAGTGTGGACAAGGGAAACGGCCAGAGGCAGTGGTACCGGACATATGGGCTTGAGGTGCGTCGCTCTCTTTGTGTCTGATCTCGTTCCCTCCGCCGCCTGCTCACGCGTCACCGGTCGCCCCCCGCCAGGACTGGACGTTCGCCGACGACGGACTCATGCGCAAGCGCCATATGAGCGGCAACGACGTTCCGATCACCGAGGAGGACCGATGGTTCACCGAGGACGTTGCCGACGTCGATTCTGTCGAGATCTCTGAGAAACACCTATGACGCGCCCGCTGCTGTTTATAAGAGACGATGTGATATGCATGGCATGGCATGATACTTGTCGGCATCCTCCTGTATTCACTTATGTACGATAGAGTATTTCTTATTCGCATATAGTCCTATATTCACTGTTCTCACACGGCATGCTACCATACAAAGCAAGGAGTTCACAGCGGTTTGCTCGCCGACGTAACGGAAAGACTTGGACGGTGAATAGGATAAACCATTCTGCCCATACAAAATGGGCTTTCCATGCAGATAATGACAATTTCTTTCTTTGCTCCCCGAAGTCGCTAGCCGAGTGGTTAAAGTATGTTCCTCACAGCAAACACAAGCACTCCAATATCAATCTCAGTACATAGAACTCAGAAATACTTTTGACATTGCCCACCAACTGGCGAAAACAGCAAGGCGCACTCGTAACTCCTGTGCTATAGGGAAAACCGGCCCGAGATATTCGAAGAAATGGCAGAACTGGTGCGATGATAGTGTATGCGACCGAGTCTAGATGGCAAAAACAGTGCGACAGCAAAAAGACAGAACAAGCAAGGTCCGAAAAACTGACGTGCAAGCACACTACTATAGTACAGCAAATATTCTCTCTTCCCTCCCCCTCCGCGGAGCAACTCCCTCCACGCCCGCTCACGCATCCACCGCCTCGCGCACCAGCCGGACAGCCTGCTCCGAGCGCGGCCGGATATCGCATTTGAACGCGCTCGGCGTGCGGAACACCGCGTTCTGAAACTCGACTGTGGGCTCCACCGCGTACCCTTGCGCATCTAGCGCCACCGACAGGTCGAGCGTCGCGACCATCGCCGCCATCACCATCCACAGCGAAGACTCGATGAGATGCAGCCCAGGGCAGCGCCGCCGCCCGAAGCCGAAAACGTAGTTGCGTGGGTCGCGCCGCCGCGCGGTCGCCTCGTCCGCAGCAGGAGCGAGATAGCGCTCGGGCGTGAACGCGTGTGGGTCGGGGAATAGCGCTGGGTCGCGCACCATGTTCCTGCGTGTGCGTATGCGTGTGAGCAAGCAGCATGCGTCTAGCGTTGTGCACCACTCACCAGACGTTCGCAAACACGAGAGAACCTTTGGGGATGTGCATGCCGTTGTAGACGTCGTCCTCCATCAAGCGGTGCGGCAGACTCATCGGCACCGCCGCACCCCATCGCAGAACTTCGCTCATCACGCACTCCAAGTATGGCAGTGCCGGACGATCGCTCATCGTCGGCAAGCGACCGGAGCCGACGACGCTGTCAAGCTCAGCCTGCGCCTTTGCAAGGACGTCCGGATGCTTGATCATCGCGAGCATGAAGTGCATCACAACAGTGAGCGTCTGTTGGGTATGGATTAGCGGTAGGAAGACGCTTCAGCAGGTAGACTTACCGTGTCGATGCTCGCCGAGTACATGGAGTTGGCCGCCCAGCGGATATCAAAGTCGCGCTCCGCATCTATCTCTTTTTCGCAGCGCTCCTGCATCTCCTCGAGGAGCGTCGTGCAGAAGCAAGGGAGGGCGGTGCCGTTCCGCTGGGTGCTACGTCAGCGCGTGGGAGGACCCAGCGCCAAGCAGGGAACTCACCATGCTCTCTTTGACGTACTCGTATGGCTTGTCAACAAATTCCTCAATCTTGGCCTTCCACTGTGCTGCGCTGCGCTTGAAGCCCGCGCCGGGCATCCAGTCAGGCATGTGGCGCACTGTGCCACGGCGAGATGTCAGTGGTGCGTGCATACGAATACGACGGGAGACTTACAGAACGGAAGGACGTCAACAGGCCAGATACCGCCGCCGGATGCGATCTTGTTCGCGAGGAGGTCGACGCACTCCTCGGCGAGCGTGAGGAACTTGTCATCGTTCGAGCGTACCTGATAGCCGTAGATGCACGAAAGCGTCAGACCGCCTGCGTACCTAAGGGCGAACGACATCAGCTTCGTACGCAAACTCGCGAAGCCCGAGTAACCCACCTACGAATACTAGCAATGTATTCTTCGGGGTTGAGGAGTATGTTCCTCAAGAGCTCCTGCGTTTGTACGGCCATGAGGGGCTCGTATCTGCGGACGCTGTTGGCACTTAGGGCTTGCTGCATAAGGCGGCGCTGGCGGCGGGCCTTGTCACCATAACGGGTGAATGCGACCTAGTAAGCGCACGTCAGGCCATGTGGGACGGCGCGACGGGACGCGACACGCACCATGTTCTCGCAGCCACATCTGTCAGACAGTTCGGTTAAGTTATACATAAGCAGGCGACATCATACAAACGCACAGTTCGCCGGTCATGATGAGACCAGGCTTGTCAGAGTAGATTGCGCCCCGCTTCTCAAGCAAGTCCACAGCGGCATCGTATGTGTTAAGGAAGACGAGACCCTGACCGAACACGTGTACATAGACCACATCGCCTGTAAATACATTGAAGAATCAGTTCCAAACATTACATGAATACTCTCGTTACGCTGGTCAAGATAAATAGGCAACCACGTCCTTGTAGAGCCGGGCCTGTGCCGCCCGAGTACGTGAACTCGTCTGTATCACTAGGGTGACGGCAAGCACGCAAACAACCCAAAGCCGGCAGCGAAGTGCCCATCATTGATCAGACAACCCTATGCTTCACAGTATCACCGCGCTGGCGCGCTGACGCCACGCGTCTCGAAAACTTGCAAACTATCGCAGCCACATAGAATGCACCATGCGGATACGGCAGCATCGGGCGGCCATCGCCCCTACGCAGAGCAGAGGACTGCACCCCCACAACTCCAGGGTACGCCTCGGCCACTCTATGTACTGCGATTCCCCCGACTGCCCGGAGATAACCACAAGGCGAGGCACCTGAAACGGCAAATTCTTTACAACGTGGCATCCACTCCAACGCAGAAGCAATATTTCGAACTCGATCTCCATGCACGCCTCTGTTGCCAGGGATACACGCGCAACAGGAAAGGAAATTAGATAGAAAGTACACACCGTACTGCTGCGCCCACTGCGTCACGCGCAGCCAAAGCTCTTTGATAGTAAGATTAGTGATGTTCCCAACTAGTGGAAGGGGCTTGGGCCCAGGCGGCAGCGTCCTCTGTGGCTTGATGAGCTGCGTCCAGAGAAAGAATAGCGAACCAAGGCCCAGCACGGCAAGAACAGCGCCCATAGTCAGATAACTTAGCGAGGGAGGGAGGGTGTGTGGGAGTGTCGACGGAGGCTACAGCAGAGCGAGCGCCAGAGCCAGTCCGACGAGGGGTGTCCCGGTGAGTGTGGAAAACGAGTGTGGGGGCGAGGTATATATAATCCCGGACTGTGTAGGGTGGCCGAACGAGGGATAGTCGCGGGGGGGATCACAGGGAACAAGGAAACATACGTTCTAGTCTAGCGGCCGCGACAGGCAGGACTTTATAATCCTCATCTGGGGCCGGGCCTCGGGAGCCATCTTACGTTGTACGTCTTCGGCTAGACTAAGTAGCCTAATGAGCGTTAGCGGAGGCTTCTGCATCACATCCGCCCCGCGCTACACGGGCGTCGCTGCGTCCTCTGCGGGCTCGTCGCCCTCCTCGCCGCCGCGTCGCAGGGTCCACGCCAGTCGCTGGCGTATATTAGGCGGTACAAGCTCAAGTTGCAGCCCTCGGCGCCTCGCTGTGCCTCACCTGCGCCAAAACCCCGCTGCTTGTGGGAGATTTCGTTCTTCGCGGAGCAGACGACTTGACGGCGAAGCAAAGAAGGGCCGGCTGTTGTAAACGCGTTATCCAAGACCCCGCTCGAGTCTCAGCTCCAGGCACTACACGTGGGCGTATCGCAGCCAAGTCAGACATTCAATCGTCCACTGGTTGTGGGCAAGCCTAAAATTTGCATCAAAGGCACAGTATGGGTTGAGGAGAGGAGCTCAACACGGCCATGGCATGGTCGTGGTGGTTAGTCAAAGAGTCGAAATTGCTTGCGAAAATAGCGGACATTACGGTGGTATGTACCGCGTATTTCGAGTTAATAATACTCATGACATATGCAACTTACATAATCTATCGATCAGCACACGCTTCATATCGTGTTTAATCAAGTATTGAATCGAAGAAGCCTATACTTGTAAGTAGTAGGCACGATACTATTGGTAATGACTAATAGTCGAAGAACCTGATCGCGCTCTTGAATGTCAAGACGCAGACGAGATGTCGCGCAGACGATTTGCGGCCCACGGGTCAAAACTGGATCGCATGGATCGCGACATCAATCTCGGGGCGCTCTCGTGTCCCCACTCCACCGATGGACACGCTGACGCCTGGCAGTATCCGGGGCCCGCCACCATCCGCTTCCGCAAACTCCAAGTCTTGCGTCGGAAACGCTCTATCACATTGTATTACACACATAAATACTATTACAGCCAGTCACATACACCATCGTTCGGGGACGCTTCAGCAACTAGGGGTACGCGGAGTTAGAGGCCGTGTGTATAATCGTGTAGTACCGGGGTAGCATTGGGCAGCACCGCGGCGACCCGCAGGCTCAGAGATGTTTCTCCGAGATTGGGAACGTGTCCAGATCGTCCGCCGCGACGTTCTTGAACCATCTATCCTCTTCCGCGATGGCTATATCATTCGCGCTCATGTGGCGCTTCCGCATGAGCCCGTCCTCTGCGAACGTCCAATCCTGCCCAACATGCGCTATTCAGAATCGCGAGCCTAGACAAGGCAGAGGGCACGCACCTCGAGGCCGTAGCAGCGGTACCACTGCACCTCCCCTTCGCCTTTGTCCTCGCACCATTCATAGAAGAACTGCGCGGGAGGGAAATTAGATGAGATGCACCTTGCGCGCGTAGAGCGGCGGCACCACAAACACACCTGAACCGCAATCTTGTCGTCGTTGAACGAAAACAGCTCCTTGCGCAGGCGGTAATTCTTCTCTTTCGCCCACTTCTTCTTGAGGAACTCCACCACCTCCTCGCGGCCCTTGACGAATTGGTCTCTGTTCCTCCAGATCGTGTCGGGCTGCAAGGTCACATCAGTCCGTGCAATCACTGATATTTTTCACCCACCGCCGGGGAACACGCACCGTGTATGCAAGTGACACCCGGACTGGGTCGCAGGTGTTCCACAGATTCTGGGCTAGCTTCACTTTCTGCTCGGCGGTGGCGGCGGTGAAGGGAGGCTTCAGCACGGTCGACATGTTGTGATTATAGACAAGAGATAGGTGTGGAGAATGTCTGAGGTTGTTGATAGTAGGAAAGCTGACAGGAGATGGCAGAAAGAGTTGGTATGGGTCTGTGCCCCTCGTTGCTGTGTTTTTATATCTCTCGGGATGCCGCAGGGTTCGAACAGAAGCTGGACCAGACCTCGTTGCAGGAGGTAATCTTGCACAAAAAAATCCCTGAGGAATCCCCGTGGCTGCAAATTTCGCAGGATCCGTAAACTGGAGTATGACAAAGGCAGCAGGAAGCCATGGTCGCAAGTCGAATCCGCTGTAAGGAATGCGCCGCTATCACAGAAGGAGGCGTGAGACCGTAAGATTTCATTGACACGAGCTTGGAGTTGAGAAGTTTGAACATTATTGCCTGCGCGATTTTCTGGGTGGGTGGATCCGGACCAGTCGAAATGTTGCGGCTGGTTGCATTGCTGAGCTTATGTAAACACAATCCCATCACGATCGTTATAGCCAGCGGGAGTTTCGGGGTCAATGAGGGTCCTCGGCTGATTCATACCCGTCGTGCTCCGGAATTTCTACGAGAACACTTGAAGAACATACTTAGAGGTTGGAGACGATACCGCAAACCGCGTCGTAGGAGCAGGTATAGACATATGCAGCGACGAGAAGAGTTGCGGAGCTGTCACCAACCATCGTCATACACGCCGTACACGATTTGGTCGAGTTGCGTTGGGCTTCAAAGTCCGCGGGTGTGATAACGTCAACATCCTCAGATTGCCAAGTAAACCAGGTACAGTAACGCGGTTAGATAGAAGTGTACAGATGATACAGATACACACGCACGAGTGACGAAGATACGAATAGATATCGGACGTATCAGAATCAGTCGGCGGAGCCGACATTCGCTATAAAGTACAGGAACTCACCATGTTCATACAATGTCCGAATGAACTGCATACCCCGATCCGTTGTCTGGGCCTTCCACACCTCACACCTCGCTCACATTTCCATTTCCATCTCCATGCCGTCCCACTCCTCCTCGATCTTCTCAGGGCCACCGTTGACTGACCGCACGCCCTCTGACTTGCGTGATCGCGCCGAAAACCCGTACCTCCCAGCCACGTTGTAGTCTTCTCCGTCGCCATCTACATCTACGTACTCGCTTTCCTCCGATCCGCTCCGCGACCGCGAGCTGGAGCGCACGGAGGACCGTGGTAGCGACCAGCCACCGGCCCCGTCCGAATACGAGCGCTCGATCGCAGACGCGCCGGACGAACGGAATGAAGACGACGCGAAACCGACTGATACCGGCGAGCTCCACGCGTCGGACGGCGCACTCACGAGACTGTATCCACCGTCGCGCGCGTGATGGTGCGTGTTCGCGCCGGCACCTGGCATAGGCACGGGCACGGAGCGTTGGGGCGCGGGTGTGTCCGCACCGTTGTCCGTCACAGGCGGTGTGTGACTGCTGGTCCCAGTGTTGGGCACGGCAAGGACGCCCGGGCGTAGCTCAGTGACGCCGCCGACAGCGGGGACTGCGTAGTCGTGCATGCGTGGGCCGGAGCGCGCGACCAGCACCGACGGTGCAGGAACGGAGCTCGAGCTTGGGAACGGAGCAGGCTGCTCGAGTGAGAAGGTGGACATGCTTGGCTTGATTGCTGCCGTGCGAATGCTGAGAGTGTTGGCCTGGCTCGGGGGAGGTAGCAGACCCCCGGAGAGATAGGAAGGCCATAGCGAGCGGTCTTCGGGAAGTGACGAGCCGCCTGTGGCGGACGGGGTTATGTGCGACAGAATGGCAGCAGCCTAGCCTCAAGTTGTTAGTGCACCCCAGAGAACCTACAAACGGTAATTCTTACCTCCAGCATCTGGACTTGCTGATGTTTGCTAAGAAGGAACTTGGACGCTTCGCGCCAATGCGGAGAGTGCTCCCAGCGATGCTTAATGAGGCACGACGGATGCCGATACACCTTTGAGCAGCTCTCGCACTTGAAAATCGACCCTCGTTTCTTCCCTGCACCAGTCTTGCTATTCGTGACGCTAATTCCAGTTACGACAAGTTCTGAGCCCACAGGATCGGTTTCCGTCGCCTCCTGCTTTGTGCTGTTCGTAGTGGAGTCCATAACTCCCGACGCAGACACTAGGGTCGTGGAAGTCTGAGGCGGCGGGGTGCCGCTCAGCGATAGCTTCGCCAGAGACGTGAGCGCCGCAGCAGCGGCGGAGATCGTCACCGGCCTAATGGGAGTATGTTTGTGGACGAGGTACTAAGAGAACAGAATGGACGCACGAAGGACGGCTGGCTGCCTCCCGGGCTTCGCTTAGTCTTCTCCTTGCCTGACCGGCTGAAGAGGGCCGCCGATACTTATGGGATGCATGCACCTTAGAACCCACGCCGGTACTCCCACCTCCCGATGTCGAGCTGCTCGGCCCATTAGAGCCGTCTACGGTTGGCAAGTCCTCTTGCGCGCTGTCGCGCTTCATGAGAATGGGTGCAGCACTGGCCGCAGCCAGCGACAGAGAGAGAAGCCCATCAACAGCGACCTATAGTTTCTACGTTCGACTATATGTTGAGCTCGGTGTGACACTGTAACTCACCGACGAGGCTGATGCTTCCACTTGGCTCATCGAGAATGTTGTACACGAATAATGAACAAGAATAAGACTAGATACAGAGAGAATGAGCGTGAGCTCTGTAGAACGTTGCGAGTTTATCAGACAAGAGCCATTTAGAATGGAAGTATGTGCTCTCCGTTCACGACGGTGAGCTCAGCTGCAGAGCACAACTGACCGACCAAGGTCCAAGGCCAGAAAGTACCAAAATTTACAACTCCGGTCATTTACGATGATATTTTGATAATTCAGGGACTTATTTACTTAGATCTTATGTGATCCATGATATTCTTGAGGACAGCCTTGAGTCAGCATTTTGTTTGGTATTGTAAACTTGTGTACGTAATACACACCATAACTCGAATGTGGTGGTGTTTATACTTAGTCATGACCGCGTTCAACATAATGATGTACCCTGTTCATGCTCTTGTTGTTCTGTGGCTAACGGTCATGTCCTTGTTCCGATATATCACTGGGATTGAACGTTAGGAGAGGGGGATTTTCGGGAGAGGTATGACATATCGCACACAAATCCACAGTGGTACTCGGTTGCGTTCGGCACCCCGGCAGAGGCCGGCGCCGCCTGCAGGGCGTCTGCGCCTCTCTCGCCGCATCGGTTTCGCTGGCAGTTTGTTTTCTGGCGCACCAGCACCGTTCTGTCTTCACGCATTGCGTTCTGGCCATCGCGCCGTCCTCATCATCTTTCACGGACATGCGAGCTGTCGCCTCCCCCTTTTAACCCGCTGCCGATGGCCTTCCTTCGTTCGAGCTCTCACCGCGAACGCGAACGCGCGCTTCCACGTGCAGGGCTGCCCGGATCGGGGCGCTGAGGTAAGCGACCGTGGATCTTCCTTCCGGAAATCAGCCCAACTTATCGACTGTATACATTGTCTTGTTTGTTTGTTTGCTTGTTCGTGAGCCTTGTATATAGTCCTCGAGGGCAAGGCCCTATGCTAGTAGACGATAAGTACAGCAGTCTAGCTGTCGGAGTGACTAGATACATTATCTTGGGAAGGAATCTGAACATTAGGGTCTTTCAGAGTAGTGTTTTGGAGGCTGTTTTGGACGTGTTTTTGCTCAGTTTTGGATGTTATTTTGGATGAATCCGAGATGCCCAAAAACACGGCAAGAGCCAAAAACAGGTTTTCGTGTGGCTGATCAAAGTTGAACACAGTTTTTGGCGTTGAACGGCCCGCGCCACCTGTGAGCAGAGCATGAATTAAGATCGAATCGACGACTCGCTCGCCGAGCTACGGTCGTTCGTCGACACGCACTGCTTAATATCTGTCTTGCCTGCACACTAAGCTTTGTCTTAGTAACGCCTGGACTTTTTATCTCTATGCCGACTGTTAAAGAGACTCTGCAAGCTCGGCTTCTCATTGCCCAGTCCGGCAACAAGAAGTCCTCTGCAACTCAGTCCCCAAGAGCAAAGAAAGATGCTGCCGGTGGGACACCAAATAGTTGGAAGGCCACCCATCCTGCGGGAAATGATGTGAAAAAGGAGGATAAGCCTCCCCGTAGCAGGAAGCCCAAGAAGGCCGCCGATGCTACCAGTGTGCAGCTCCTGGAGCCTGAGAAGAAGAAACGTGCGGTTGTGATGCCGTAAGTTCACTGTTGCATCGGAAGATTTTTTGTTGACTTTCATATGAGCTTACAGGTGGCAAAAGCCCCATTTCCACCATGTCACGGATGATGCCAATGACGAGGATGAGGACGAAGAATTGGAACTAGACTCAGAAGCTGATGAATCTGACTCATCTTCATGAAGTAAGATTTCTCCAGTATCAAGGCCAGTCTCCAGGTCTGCAATAAACTGTATAAGAAACGCGTGTTCAAGGGCACCGCTTGCGCGGGACCGTTCCGTCTGCGTGGGCATGTGAAAGCATAGGCTGTGGAGGGCGGGGGGATGCACGTCGAATAGATTGTAGACTGCCAGTCATGTCGCGATGGCAGTGGCTGACAGATTGATTATCTTGACACTTGAAGCTCCGCTCGCAGGTGGTGCGGGCCATTCAATGCCGAAAACTGCGTTCAACTTTGATCAGCCATACGAAAACTTGTTTTCGGCTCTTGCCGTGTTTTCGGGCATCTCGAACTCGTCGAAACAACATCCAAAACAGAGAAAACACATCCAAAACAGCCTCCAAAACATTACTCTGAAAGACCCTATTGTTCCCCACTGCTCAGGCCATCAAATCACTTCGGACGAGTCCGCGCAAATGCCATATGCCCATTCGGAAGGAGTTGGCCTTTGTGAGCATGCTCAAATGGAAAAAAATCAGCTACATCAACACATGCCCAGAAATGTGCGTCTGTATGCAGGGTTTTTCAGCAAGCACTCATCTTCTAGCGTCGTGGATGGGTATTTCACTGATCCTGTGAATTTTTTCATAGTCTTCTTATCTTGCACCATTGGGTGCGAGGGCTCGTTCTCCGGGATCAGCGGCTTTCATGGCTGCGCTGCTTATATTCTCGGTAATGAATAATTGAACCTCCACATGTCGTACGCAGTGTTTGGCGTCATTCAATACTTGGGGTTAATCTCCCAGTAGGTTTGCGTAGCTTTTCAAACTCCGCTATGGCTGCGGTAGTCTACTATAGTTGTAGTAGGACTTTAGACAAATAAACAGTGGTTCTTATAGGGTCTACTCAATGTGGAAATCCTTTGAATGGTAATAATTGTCGCAGATTGAGGTCTGCGCGAGTGCATGCAACACGCACACGCGGATACGGCGTGTCTACGAAACGCGCACGGACTCAAATGGTTATGATAGATAAGTACCCGCACACGTTGTAAGAGATATATATTCATAGTCTGTACGCATCGGTGCTTCAGGCATTGCACCCCTGAAGCACCAAGTACATTTCCGCTCTATTCACCATATGTACAATGTACTTACAGTAACGGACAGCGACTAAACGTCACTGTCAGGTGTGTAATACCAGGCATTTCGTCCCTGAAGCACCAACGACTAAACGTCGCTGTCAGGCTACGCTGCGCGCGCGCGAACGCTAACTTCGGCGTCGTTCTTTGATAATAATACAGACAACAGCACTTATCTATACTTGTACCCGATAACATTATTATTAAGGCCACTGGCCGTTGGTGGAGGTCTGCTTCTGCTCGGTCGCCACTGCAGCCACAGCGGAGTTTGAAACGCTACGCAAACTTGCTGGGAGATTAACGTTTAATCCCAAGTTCATTTAATTGGGTCCACTGTTTAGTTCTTCATTTCCATATGATCGTGCTGCTTGATTTGTGGTCCTAGGTCTAGAAATCTAGCGTGGGGGGTTCACATGGCTCCTACCGCCCGTATCCCCATCAGCGCCCTATTCAAGTTCCGGGTTCTTTCCAACGAATGTTTGTCATTCACGTGGGCTCGAACCCTGCATTAGTATGTGAGCATTTGACAGCTTTGACGATGTCATTACTAGTGGCCTCCTAACCCGTTTAACATATCCCATCAAGGAGGAAGAGCAATACCTTTTGCGTATTGAAAATTTGTCTTGGAGGAAGTTGCATTACATCGGTGTTTGACGGTTATGTGCTCTTCGTTGCTTCTCATGAATTCAGTCGCGTCTCTCTGATACCATAGTGGCATTTTGTGACAGACGGCGATGTATCGCGCTTCGTCTACTTCGACGCCTCGGGATTGGTCGCCGTGAGATTATGTTGATTGGAAGTCGAGTATCAGCTTTGCCCGCACAATACAATCGATGCTCAGATCAGACTATGTTTGGGTGGTCTGTGTGGCGAAATATTGCTCATCATCAGTGCTCCGAGCCGGGGCCATGCATCTGATTTATGCCCTCTTTGTCGCCGTGGGCTGCAAGATGGCGGGAATTCTCGGTATACATCCTGGATCTTGCCGTAACAATTTCAAACCTCGAGGGTATATAACGAAGCAGGATCCAGGCGAGCTTGTAAATTTGGGAAACATGGAGGCACCGCACATCCAGCCCGTTTTCGTCCTTCTAGGCATTGTCTTCGTCACTTGGCGATTAATCAAGCACGTCTGGACTCCTGAAAGCGTGCTTCATAGACTTCCAGGCCCTCCAAGAGCCTCCTATCTGACAGGTCCGTCTGCCCCATTTTCAACGCCGTTAAGATAACCCAAAACTTCATGCTGATATATTTTACAGGGAATCTTCCTCAGTTCCTTTCTCGTCATGGCACTGAATTCCAGAGACATGTGGCACTGGATTATGGCCTGGTTTCAAAGATACACGGTCCTATGGGTGTGCGTGCGCTATAACGTATCAAAAGTATACTTAATGTGGAATGGATAATGCAGAGCATCATCCCATACATCTCCGATCCCAAAGCGCTACATTCGATTCTGATCAAAGAAGAAGATATATTCCAGGAGACTGATCATTTTTTCACGTAGGTTTGATGTTGCTCGCTCGTGCGGGAATTGGCTCACGATGCAATACATAGGGAAAACAACCTTCTATTAGGACCCGGCCTCCTTTCGACTGCTGGTATGTCTAATTTTTTGCACCTTATCTAGTTGGAAATATTTATGTCCTTACAGGAGACGTGCATCGAAGACAACGGAAGTTGCTTCTTCCCGCATTTTCGTCAACCCATTTGCGATCCATGCTCCCACTTGTCTACCAAATTGCGTATAAGGTATATCTTTATATCAGTCGGTGCTTCCCAGATCAAGTATTGACATGAGGAGTAGCTTCGTGATGCCATTTCGGCCCAGGTGAAGACCGAACAAGAAGATATTGATATGCTATCTTGGATGGGGCGTACTGCGCTCGAAGTGATAGGACAAGGCGGACTAGGATACTCCTTCGATCCACTCGTCAAAGACGCAGGCGACGAGTATGGACACGCTTTAAAACACTTAGTGTCAGCCGTCCCTGTTGTCGGCTATGATACCTGATGTAACTAACCATGTGCTCTGTGTCTCTCTCTAGCCCGAGTATGCAGCGGTTTTCTGGGATGCGGAATATCGTCTACTTCTTCTCAAAGATAGGCCCGGCTTGGTTCAGGCGTCTCTTACTGGATATGATTCCGTATCAGCATCTCCAGACACTCAAAAAGATTGTGGATACTATGAGCGAGAAGTCACAAGAGATCTACGAGGCGAAGAAAGCTTCACTTTCGATGGGCACTGAAGTGCTTCTAGAGCAGATTGGAGAAGGAAAGGATATCATGAGCATTCTGAGTACGTGTCTCTTCGCCTGTTCATATGGCACTTCTGAATTTGGTGGCTAGTGAGGGCAAACATGGCAACATCAAGTGCCGAAAGTCTCTCTGAATATGAACTCGTATCACAGATATCGTCAGTAACCTGCCCCACTCATATACTGAGCATGAATACTGATGCAACAGTCTAAGTACATTGGTAATTGGAGCGACGGACACATCTTCAAACCTAATGGCTCGTATACTGGAACGCCTGGCAGACAATATTGATGTACAGGAGAAACTCCGACAGGAGATTCTTGACGCAAAAGCTGGTCTCGGCCTATCATTCGATGATCTGTTCCAGTTGCCTTACCTCGATAACATTTGTCGCGAAACTCTACGTTTGTGAGTATCTGTTCAGATTTTGCATAACTTTCGGCGTATGGCACTGATTTTGAGCGATAGGGATCCGCCTCTTGTGTTTACGTTCCGTACGTAAGTCAAGGTTGTTTGATGGCTTTTATTGGATGCTCTGACATTCTCGCGACTAGAGCAACACAGGATACGGTCTTACCACTTTCAGAGCCGGTTGTTGCCAACGATGGCAGCCTGATTAATGAACTTCCGATTTCCAAAGGCACCAACGTGTTAATCGGAGTCCTTGGCTGCAATGCCAATAAAGCACTCTGGGGCGAAGATGCGTTCGATTGGAAGCCGGAGCGCTGGCTATCTCCTTTACCTAGCGCCGTTACAAAGAATCCTATCCCTGGGGTATACTCTAACCTGTTCGTTTCCAGTTTTTCTTCGCTTTTTGTTTGACGCAGTAACAAGGTGCAACAGCATGTCATTTATAGGCGGAAAGAGATCCTGCATGTACGTCGCCGACTCTTGGCATTGAATCGCTCACTTATGTAGACGAGATTTAATAGCGGCTTCAAGTTTTCAGAGATGGAGATGAGTAAGTGAGAGAGATTCGAGTACAAACATTGGATTGACTTGGCTTCCATGCAGAAGTCGTACTTTCTGTCCTTCTCTCTCACTTCAGGTTTCGTCCGAGCGGAAAGCCGATCGAGTGGAACGTTGGGGTGGTGCGTTATCCTACTATCGGCAAGATTAGTGGTGCACCACAATTGCCGCTCAAAGTCGAGCCGCTCGAATCTTCATCGAGATCGCTGGCCTGAGTGTTGTTCCATGTACATTAGAAGATGCTATGTTGGCACGAGCGACGCTGTACCACATCTTTAGCAAGGTGCACGTTTCTCTCGAGAATTCTTCGTTGTTGTTCCATCTGAGTCCCCATCTTCCTCTTGGATATATAAATCATGAAATACGTTCAATGTTGACCCTTTGTGTATGGCTAACGGAAATCAACTTTTCCGTTACGGTGCATCATTAACCGTCGAGTTCCGGGATAGGATCCGTTTTCGGGACAAGGTCTTGACCAAAACAGTCACCTAAACATGGAACATGCTAGCAAAGTGTCCATTGTCAAGCTTGATACTCCCGCTCGTTATCGGCCCGGGCGCTAGCCTCACCAGTGTGACCTAGAAACGGATGCGAAATCAAAAAAAGGGGATGAGGAGGGTGGGCGACGAAAAAATAACAACAAATTCAAATCTGTCCGTATAAACTGCGTGAGGAATGTGTCCGAATAGGAGACGGCGAGGCAGAACTCACTTATGCTATATCAGCGGCGATATTGGCAATGCCAGCGAACAGCGCTGTAATAGCTGATGACGAATGCGAACGAGTGGTCTCAGCTCGCTGAACGTCGAATGACCATTTTGATGACTTACCTGGAGGTGGGAGCAGAGAGCGACGCTCTCCTGAATGCCACCCGTCCCAGATAATATCGAAAAATGGACATAGGGGCGATGGCGAGGCCAAGCGCAATACGCCTCCGAGAACGGCCGGTGGCTTCCCGACACGGAGCATCCACTGCGCCTGCAGCACTCCGCACAGGCGACTGCATGCCGAAGGCGATGAAGAGGAGTGCGGCGGCGCCGTCCTAGGGTCCGTGTGAGCTTCACGCGCGTTGTGTGAGGGGATTCGAATTGCCGCGGAGGCCTCCGAAAAAGCTCCTTACCTTCGGAACCCGCTTTCACTCTGAGGGTGAAGTTTGCCTCCACTAACGGGGTCACGTAAGGTACGCGGCGATTATCGTACTACAGCTATTTTCAGTGTCTTTGCAGCCGACTCGGATACTGGAATGTGGTTCAGGTCGAGCCCGTAGTGGTGGCAATAATGGTTCTGTGTCTTTGATTCCGGATTGTGATCCTGTGTCTTGAATGTTCGAATGCAGTATTTCAAATTGTCGACTCGAGCGACCGAATACAGCAGTGTTGGACTTGATGCACCCATCATTACAAAGCTTGGCTTTCATTGCGCTGTATCAAGTGCTTGTTTACCCTAATGGTTTGGACGGGCCAAGACTGTCTAGATCGCATAGTAGTCGCTCACGAGGCGTTCAGGTGTGTACCTGTTTCCCACCTCAGGCCACTTCCGAATTCGTAGTAATTGTCGCTCTTCGGAATGTGTGACGAGCTACAGCCACCCTGGTACATCCGTGATTGATGGGAATGATGGCTCCGATTTTCGATGGTGTAATTATATGGTCTCACCGTCTTCGCATTCCACTGATCGACTGGGACACATGATATTGCGGCTGTGAGCGTTGTCCACGAAGCACCAACGTCGGAGGATAGAATCCATAGCTTTCGGACGTTCCGCAAGGGGCATTATAAACTATGCTTATCGTTCTGGCAGCGCTCACCAATCGCCCACCACGCAGCTGAACAACTAGGTTTCAATGGACACAATTGTATCTTCTGAATCTATTAATGATGTTGTATATGCTGGTACGTCAGAAATGAGTTTTGCCTGCATAGCCGACTGTGGTACTGAATGTCAATTAGGTGTTATAGTAGCATCAACGTGCAGTCCAGAATTTCGCTGCTCACAAAGCTCCTGGAACTGACCATGATACAGCCTATATGGTGCCAATACTATACAGACGCTGAGTTACTATAAACACAGTGATTGCGACCCGAAGCCCATGAAAGTCTTGGTGAGCGATTTTTCTACCCTCCCATGCGCACGAAGATTATGGCTATCACTTCTCCTTTTCGCAGATCGCCTTTTTGTGGTATTTCTGCATTTTGTTATTGTTTTTCAGCGTGCATTCAGTTCACCGTCTACCAGGTTACTCGACACTGTTCAACTGGCATTTGTAGCGCAAGTTTTTTATACGTATGCGATTATCACGAATAGCGATCCTCATGTAGTCGAGCAGTCTCTGTGGTAAGTTTTAACTCCAGGACCAGAAATTAAACTACTAAAATGTATTAGGATCCTCTCGGTTCGTCTGCGTTCGAGGCTTTCTTTCTGATAGCTTACCTTAAATATGGCAAATAGGCGAATGTTACAATTTCTGTAAGCTGTTGATCCTTTGAGAGCTCCAAGCTGAGACAATGATCACAGACTATCAGCGAAACAGTTGTGAGGGCGTAAGTAGCCTAGTTTTGACGTCAGTTTTAAGACCCAACTATGCATGTTTTCAGATTGTTTTGTTGGCGCATCTGGATTTGTGAGTGTTGAACAAAATATCACATACCTAAGTTCATTCGTTACAGTCAGCAATCGAAACAAAACCATGGTTGCTACTGTTGTAAGCGACTGTTTCTTTCGTGCCAGTCGCGTTTGACACCGGGTTTTCTCAGTCAGGAGCGTCTTTAGGTAACTTTGGTACGTCACATTATCTGTCTACTCGATGTTACAGCGACTCATATTGCGTTATATTCCAAAGTGTCTGGACTAGGTACTTCTTATCCTCAGTCTCACCATAGAACAAGGACTCATATATAAGATTATTATTTTCAAGCATATTCTATCTGGAGGTAAACTGTATTGACTCTCGAGCATCAAACGTGACTTAAACAACTCCAGCTTCACTCCACTTCGTCAGCACCTCACTTTCACGCAGATTTCTGTAAGTGGGACGATGTTCCGAGATATCTTTGAGTACTAATCAATGATACCAGTACTTTATCTATGTCGGCCTTGGGTCGGGAGCTGTTGCTGATATATTTGTTACTACATTTTTGTGCACCCTCTTGGCGAGAAGTCGTACAAGCTTTTCAGAGTGAGCAATCTTTGCACAACTCGTTTCAACCATTATGCTTACACATTTGTTGAAGCACAAATTCAATGATCGATGTAATGATGATATATACCATCAGTACAGGCTTGTTGACAAGGTATAATTGTCTTTAAAATCCATCGGTTATGCTGACAGAATACAAAGCATTTGTGCTACTCTATGTGTATTCATGGTATGCCAGTGATCTTTTTCTCACTATAACTCTGAGAAAGCGAAATTGGTCCTCAGGTTGCATTCTTACCGGTAATGGAGAAAAACTGGTACATCGCACTGTACTTCGTTCTTCCAAAGCGTGAGTCAGGATCTCCTTGGTCTGTGCGTTTCTCAAATTTCCCCGTCTTCTAAGAGTAGTCATGAGCGCATCTTTACTCGCGACTCTTAACGCTCGGCCATATATCAAACAGAGAGTGGCATCCATAGCCATTTTCAAACCAACTCGCCGATCCGCCGACATCGGAAATTTGTGCCTCAATGACACTACGCGCAGTGGCCCTAGTCTAAGAAACTAAGTTAGCTACTCTTCATACCACTTTAATTGCCGCTCTTGATACCTATCGTTCAGGTTATGGCTAATCCGTCCCACCCGAGAGAATCTGCTTCAACCACCCCGTGGATAGAAACCTTCATTGTCTGTGCTTTTCATCATCCAACCTTCCACAGAATGCTTGAGGTACTAGAGGATGACACTCAACAAGCAGGTCTTAGACTGCAATGTTTAGAGCATACACGACTGTACGAATCTTACGATCAATACATTGCCTTGATGCCAGAGCCCCGCGCATATCGTCGGCGAAATATTCCCGGTAAATGGTATTGCGTACAATTGGCGCCAACTTTGAGAGCTGCTTCGGACTTCAAACGGCTGGGAGTACGGACTGAAGCACGGTAACCCAATAGCTTATAGGTATATATGAAGGCAATTTTGAGTGACTTGCCTGCCTTGAAATAGATATGTAACGGGCGTTGCCGATATACCTCGCCTTCGGCCGAGAACGTTGAACATGTTGCATCTCTTGACCTATACTTCATGCCGGCAGACTCGCGCACTCCAAACGTCGATACCTATACCCACTGTACTGCGATGCTACTAATTCAAGATTGTGCTGGAGGGCTCTCTTTGAGCAATCCACTAAGGGATCCGGTGCTACACGCTGTACCACGTAGGCCGCCGCTTTAGCAATCTCGAAAACCCGGCAAGTTCTTCGATTGCCATGGCCACCTTCATAGTATTAGAAAATTCCTTGTTTGCTATTGACTTATCAACATCTTGCTCGTTCATGAACAAAGCTTCTGTCAATGTGTTGCTGCACTAGCGGCGCCATCTCCGAGATGATTCGGGTCCGAGACTGGTCCGCCGTGGACTCATTGCGTGATGTGGAGTATAATCTTTCACATATAGCTCTCTGGGATCTCCCATAGAAGTGCTGTCCGTTTGTCTCCAACAGCGGTTGGTGTCAAACACTATGGATTGAGAAGAATACAAAACGTATCTGTCAGCGCCTTTAGCCACAACGGCTTGAACGAGGAGCAAAATGTCAAGTCTGGATCCTGGGAAGCGAAACGAAGCCTACTTCTCAAGCGACGCAGAATTGGACATTTGGGTCCGTTGGGTGCAGGAGTCAATCATTCCTGCTCGTAAGCTGGCTCTTGGTATGACTGATCATTGTACAGAACAGAACAGACCCAGGATGTCCGCAGGTAGCGTCTCCGAGTCTGCACTCAATCACAGAATACTAATTTGACGTGCACATCTTCATGAATCTGTCACTTGTGGCACTACATATTAGGTGGCTACAGAATGAGCGTTGTCGTGAATACGATTTTGATGTTGCACAGTGGTGTCATATTCTATCCGAACGGAGTACTGGCGGATCACCAGACATGAAAATTGTTGAGTGTCTGTTTTAATTTGCATGTATGCATCACTCTATGGGAAGGTTAGTGGACAGAGTCACGCAACTTACTTCAGATATAAGTAGAGCGAATAAGACAGTAAGTCCCAGGCACCATCATCATAATGGAACACCGGTATTGTGATACGCGCAGCTAGTCCGTGACGGCAAGCTCGTCTTCCTCCTCAGTCATGGTGGTGGATTTATTTTCGCTCGGTAACCATGTAACGCCGATTATCTCGATTTTGACCCCGAGGGCGAGCGTATCTCAAGCGGGGAACCACGTGGAAAACCGCCCAACGTAAGCAGCCTTCACGCTATATATTGTCTCTGGTGGAAGAACAACGGCATCCGAAAAACTCGAGTGACCGTGTGGCTTTACCATTGCTTTCTCCAAGCTGGCTGCATTTCAGTATGCGACAGATGCAGCTGTTTGGTGAGCTATTTGATTACGATGCCGCTGTTGTGCTGGGCTCGGCCTATATCGGTGAGACTGCAGCCTCTCTGATGATCTTGAGCTAACACACGGTATAGGCACCATAATTGCCGCTATGTCGGTTGCTCTCTGGATTCGTATGGAAAAACCACTGACACAGCGTCGCAGTATATATGGTTTCAATAATATGCAAACATTCATTTACTACAGTCGATGTGGCTCGGACCACAAGCTTTATAAAAGTTTGGTGAGTTGAAGTAAAAGGCCTACTACTTTAGCTGATGTCAGTCAACATCCCGGTGCATCCAATACTAGATACTCTTTTTATGGTAACTACATGGACTTCGTGGACATTTCAAGTTCTTCTAAAGCTTTTAACGTCCCCGTAGGGCTCTCGACACCCTCCAGCTGGCCTTAATTGTGCAAGCAGTCTATGTATACTGTATTACCGGTCTTGAAGACCAAACCGTCTTATTTCGGCCTTTCTGGTAAGAGTGTTCAATGTGAAACTGCATCTTATAATTTACTGATAACGAAATGTATACTAGGAGCCTTACAGTATGTCCTATTTTGACGATTATCCGGCCTCGCTCATAGCATTGAGTAAAGGCTCATGTCATTGTCACCGTGAGTGTCAAGTGTGCGGGTCGCGCTGCTATTGAACTCATAAAATCAATGCAGAGCGTCAGCGACGTTGTTGTGCGGGGGTAAAATTGTATGAATTTGACTGCAGGATAACAATTGATTTTGACTATCTGCAGATGGTTCTGCTTCAGGATCTGGAAATGTGAGTAGCTGTATGATGTATGGCGACATTTATACCGAGCTGTACCAGTTAGCGAGAGAAATTGGTTCATGACCGCTATGATTGTCAGTAATGCAACTATTAACCCGCGACATGGGAACTTATGTTTTGCAGGCATTCACGTCTTCTGTTGCTTTTGGTTAGTTGGCCATTTACTTTTACAAACTACGACTGAACTTCACGCACTAATCAAGGCAGTGGTTGTGGTACGGCTTATTTGTTGATTTCCCCCCTGAAAACCATTGCTCTGACCGCACTATCTACAGGATTTACAATCTGGGGGTGAGCATTCGAGAGCATTACAGCCGATAGGCCTGTTGCTAATGTCTCCAAGGTTCCTCGTATCTGATTATTTTCCCGATGTCGGCCAATTCTCGGTAAATGGTCTGAAATATCCTGCAACGTGAATCGCTGATGGGGATGCACTTCTAGTGCTTTTTTTATTTGAACATTGGAGCGAGCGCTGCCGCGGATACGTTCATTGCTGTCTTCTCTTGTATTCTTCTTGCAAGACGACGCACAGGATTCAGGCGAGGATTCTCTGACTGCCACCGATTCCGATTAATGATGGCTTATATTATAGAATGGATTCTGTGATTCGCAGGTTGATGTTGTATAGTATAAATACGGCATTGTTCACCAGGTAATTTCATTTTGAGTCTTAAAGTTCGACTCTGACAAACTTGCAGCATGTGCGCCATTCTTTGCTTGCTCTTAGTGAACTCAGTTTTCTTCTATATTTATCTGGAATACTCATTTGTTCCATACAGTTTATACTTCTACCGAAGGCCGGCCACGAGAATTATGGCTTCGTCGCAGCGTATTTTGTACTCTCGAAGTGTACGCTCAATTTTTTCGTCTAAGTAAGGGTCTTATCACGCTGCAGTACTTTTTGGGTCCTTGCTTGCGAGCTTGAATGCACGCTCGCACCTCAAGGAGCGGGCTCATCGTGGTACTATGAATGTGTCTGCGATAATCCCTTCACCTTCGAGTCATATGCGAAAAAAGCGGGGCAGGCACCCCATACCATGTAAAGCTGATTCAAAAGAGGAGGTCAGTATTGATTCACACATCTGAACAATCACACTCGACTAGTGTTCCAGCTGTTACAGACACCTATCACCGCCACCACTGACGCCTTGACGGAACTTGAGATCATATCTATGTATGAGTTCGTTGGGGTGGGTTATCTTGGCTATCATTTTCCATATCCCGCCTAATCCTTCCTCAGGATAATCTCACTCGTTGGGAGTCTTCGTGGTCGCGCCATCCGGATGCAGTTTCAGTTTAAATTGTTCAAAATGAGTGCTATTCATTCACCCTATTTATTCGCGCTATTTATTTGCAGACCATGGATATTGGTATCAGAACTGGGACTAGAAATTATACCCTATAGTAGTTTTGGTTCGTAGCGTCTGTGTCGGTTGTAGTAGGTGAGCTATGGACTCGGACTCGCTACATGAGAAGTTGCTCTTTCCACAGTATCACGTGTTTGTGCAGAATATACTGGACTTGAACATATCTGTAGGCTGCGGCGCAACACAGTGGTCTGTTACTCTTACCTTTCCGTGATTCTCAACGTTGTTACTGCCTGTGTAGGCTTGTGCGCTATGCCAGTGTACATATCGGTTCGACGATATCACTGCCGACTCGGCACAGAGCCCGACATACTCCGCGACACAATAGGAAATGAACTCCGACTTCGACTTTGGATCGGCTTTTTTACTTCCGCTGCCCAGTGTCCAGCCGAGTTGTACGTATCGCATGTCAAACATTGCTTGTTACCCTTCGATTCAAGACTTTAGGGCTATTCGGATGTCCTCGTGTATTTGAGTGCTAGCAGCCCGAGGGTCTCGTTAAACACCCGTGGTCGTGCACGGATCTGCTCAACTTTCAGCGTCTTCATGTGGGCATGTTTTCTGCGAGTTCATGTTTATCGCCTGGTTGCGTTGTTCTCCAGTGCGTTTGAAGTTGGTCGGCATTTGATTGGTTTTTATGGCATGTTCCGAGAACCACATCACTGAGCAAGGAGGGATGATTAATCTGATCCGGGGACCTTGTGCGCATTGTCTTCTTATTTGTAACTCGCTGATACGGTTCGCATGCCATCCTGCCTCGAAAACCACACTACCACGCACGATTGGTGTAATCGAGTAGATGGAAAGTCTACCGACCGACACTTGCCCACCATGCCAGGCACAGGCTCAGTCCATCATATGGAATCTTTCCAAACTGGGTTGACGTGATGAATGTGGTACTCTTGTGGATTTTTGTGGATTTGCATCTAATGCTGGGTGGTATGTCGCTTGCTTTTGTAAGTCCAGTCGCCTTTTCTCATGCAAAATCAGATGTTGCGACGTTGTCTTTCGGGCTTGACATTTGCGAGTCCCTTGCCGACGTCCATACGTGTCGTGCGCCGTATATAACCAGAAGATTACAGTGGTCCTAATTCGGTTCCGTTCTCAATACCACATATGGTGTCGTATCTCCCGGGATCTTCTCTGATATGAATGGGTTCAAGGCGGACCACCGAGTGGATCGTAACCACACGTGGAATTCTTGACCCACTTGAAGCACTCAACGCCAGTTGCGGCTCTCTGTGAACTCGACAGACGACGGGATTCAAATCTGCTTTTCCTCTCTGCCGCTGCTGTCTTTGTACTAGCGTAAGAACGGAAGAACCGGTGCGGCACAACGCATACGGTCGATGCACCTCGGCAAACAGTGACCACCTATGGCGGTGAGAATTCGTGATCATGATCATAATGGAATACTGAGAACTAGTGTTTGAATGACAGCATTACTGATACGAAGCAACACCAGTCTCGCCAGCATACAGGGGCTTTGTGCCTCACCCATCATCCCATACCACCCAGATGATCTGATGAGCATCCGGGAACCAGTGACCGTTGATCCCCTCTGAGTATCGAATATACGTGTTCCAAGCTGGAAGACTGAAGCACGCGGTACGCGGAGCACCCTGCGGACAACTGTGCGAAATGTACCCCCTGGCAGTTTCTAGGAATCATATTTAGCGTGGCCCCCCACCCTGTTGTCGGTATTCGCGAGTAGACCGACCGCGTCAGATTCTTGCCAGCGCCCCACATCGACTGCATCGCCATGTCCGCAGAAATGCAGTTGTTTGGCGCGCTGTTCTCTCTGGACGCTGCGCTAGGCTCAGCTTACATCGGTGTGTCGAGTCTCTCCCCCAGTTTTCTCCGCATACGCTGAACGATGGACAGGTACTATCGCCGCCGCTATGTGAGTCCTATCCGCCATAGGTGCCACCTGCCGCAGCTGACAATATACTCAGATTATATGGATTTAATACTATGCAGACGTTCATTTACTACAGACAAAGAGAAGATAACAAAACTAGAATGGGCATGGTAAGCTTTTACTTCTGCCAATGCTACTCCAGTGAAATTGATATGCCGTCGATGCCAGATCTTTTTCCTCTGGTGAGTCAATACTCTTACTTCTCCAGAAACATCACCGTACAAATCACTCAAATTTGAATTGTACAGGATACTAGACACTCTCCAGCTGGCTTTTATTGTGCAAGCCGTCTACACTTATACTATCTCTGGTCTTGAAGATCCTATGGTGCTAGCGCAGCCGGTCTGGTGTGTCTCCTTCCTATTCTTGTGCATGAAATGAGGCTGATGATTCGCGCCATGCATTCAGGAGCCTTACAGTCAGTCCTCCTCTATCTATGGTTGTTGACTCCACTCATTCCTTGGGGTATAGGCACATGTCATTATCACCGTGAGTCTGTTATTCAAACCGTTGTCTAGAAGCTGAAGTGCACGGCGTATACACAGAGCTTGAGTGACGCGATTGTGAGAGGGTGAGTACATACGTCCGATCGAGACTCGATTTGATTACGACATTGGTGTGCAGATGGTTTTGCCTGCGAGTTTGGAGATGTAAGCGTTTTGAATGTACATGAGCAGGATGCACACTGACCTACATCAGTCAGCGAGCGGAACAAGTTCATGGCCGCGTCAATTGTGCGTACTCCATGCCAATTGTAGACCAGTTATTGACGCGTAACAGATATTGACATCTTTCGCGACATTTGGTGTGTTTGTCTGTATTCCTACAGTGCGCTACTGACGCCGCAATGCTCGGTCAAGTTAGTGGCTGGGGTATGTCGCTACTCGCAGAGTTTCCACTTTCCACTTATTCACTTGCCTACCAACGCAGCTTTCTCCATCTGGGGGTGGGTCTCATGCGCTGTCGCTGGCACATGAGATTCTCATTGATTACGTTCGCAGATTCACACAGCCGAATTATTACTTCAAGCTCCAGCAACTATCGGTATGCTCAGGAGCAGTCTAGTGCTTCCACACGATCTCAAGGATTCTTTTGTGTCGTAGTATTTCCTCTACGTCAACCTCGGATCCGGCGCGATCGCCGACACTCTGATCGCCACATTCCTTTGTGTTCTCTTGGCTCAGTGCCGCACTGGATTTTCCAGGCGAGTTGGTTTCCTCCGTAGATCGTTTCAAAACGTTGGTGCTGACGTACATTCGTCCTCGCAGTATGGACTCCGTAATCCGTGTGCTCATGTTATACAGCATCAATACAGGATTGCTGACAAGGTAATAGTCACCCATACCCAGCCGCATCGAGCTGACCTCAGTGCAGCATTTGTGCTATTACTTGCTTACTCTTGGTGAGGTACACATCCCGAATACCATAACTCGTTTTCTGACTCCTATCCGTGCGCTAGTACGCATTTCTGCCAGCCACAAATTTCGAGAAGTTTGGCTTCATCGCGATCTTTTTCGTACTTCCTAAACGTAGGCGCTGCTCGTACGCCTTTTTTACGCTAACGTTACGATTGTGCTCGCAGTATTGCTCACATCTCTACTTGCAAGTCTTACCGCGCGCCCCTACCTCAAGGAAAAGGCGCAACCAAGCACGACGTCGAGCGCCACGACGCTCCGGCCCCGGTTGCCCCCCCTCAGAGGCATACAAGGCAACGGCTCTATCCTGAGCTACCCAAGCGACCGCTCACGGGTTCGTCGTGTCTCCTGATTTTTTTCGTGCGTCTCACCGCGTCGCGTGTTGTGCAGATTTTTGACAGCCCCCTCGCGTCCCCAACGGAAGTGGAGATCATGTCGATGCACCAGTTGGTGGAGGTGCGTCTCTGCCGCTCCCTTGCGTGTCCGCCGCTGACTTTCGCGTCTGCGCAGGAGGAGCTGAATCGCTGGAAGGCCCCGTGGCAGCGACACCAGTCGTCCATGTCGGCGTGAGATGCTCGGGGCTACCACAGCTTACCACTCAGCTCGGCGCACACTCGCATGTTAGGCTCGGACATTATTGTATCAAATGAAAGCTGCGGCGACCAGACACCTGTCGCCATGGACTTTGACCGTGTATTCGCACCGTACTGTATAGATCAGAATAGTTCTGCGACGTGTCCCATGTCAAAGAAAATCTGCTGGGCATGACGCCCGGCCGACGTCGTACCACTGGCATCCACTCGGCGCTCCGGTGAGAGTTCCGAACGTCACACAGCCCCGGTCGATGTGCGGTTTGCTCATTCCACTCTGGCCCGTTCTGTCTTCCACGTAAAGAAGCTAGCGTTTTAGATATGACTTGAACCGCCCTTGGAGATCTTCTGTTGCCCTGTCGCTAGGCTGTCGCCTTATCGTGCGGTTGCTGTGGCGCTCCGAGTGGTACTGGTACGCGGGCTCCCGAAGGCTCGTCGCGCGTAAATATGGTGCTCTGTCCTCGTCAGCAATTCCTTCTGTGTTGCTCCGTTGCTGTGGTAGCCGGCTCG